CTGTACTTAAGACGATCTTGAAAATAAGTCTTGACTATGAATACGGGCCTATGCTCTGTCCCCTTATATTCCTGTATCCATGCGTTGTGTTGTCGGAACGCACCTAACCAAAATTTGTATGGACAACTACATAGATGAGTTCGGCTTGAGCCTTCGTAGCGTACGGACGTGTTTCATGAGAGAGCGATACGGTTAAGGATATAGCGTTGGGAGAGAGACTAGAGTGTAGAGTAAAAAGAGAGAGTATAAAAAAAAGGGGGAAGAGGTGACATTTAAAAATAGGAAAATTTAATAATAGAAATACCGTGCCCCCCGAACTCGGGGGGACGGCGAGCGGTTTAATGCTGTGAAAACGTGTAGGAAGGACGTTAAAAGATGTGCGATAATGTCGAAAATGCAACATCAAGTGGTTAATACCAAAAAGATGGATGTCAATGTGTCAAAAGAGTGCTGTCGCAAGAAGCTTCACAGGAAATATGTGAAATAATTGGAATAGAAAAAAGCGATTGGAAAGTTGTTAATAATAAAAAAGCGAAATAAGACAAAGGAATGCGGGAAGAGGACAAGAGGGCCAATGGAGAAGAACAAAGACAGATAAGGACCGAGTAATTGGGTGACGATATGGATTTAGAAGAGGGGGAGGAAATACAGGACAAGAACGAACAGGTCACATCACAACAAAAGACAAAGGGCAGCTATGTTAGTAAACAAGTTGAAGTGAGCAACATAAAGCCACATGGTAACAGTGTAAAGGAGAATGTAAAAGAGATCTACAAAAACTGTAAAGGAACACTAAAGAAAGTGAGCGAAATTGATGTGACGGAAATGGAAACCGGAAAGAAAAGAAGATTCGAGGAAAGCCACGTGGGACCATGTAAGGTTAGGGTTAAGTTAACGAAAGAAAAGGCTAACCCGAAACAAGGTAAGAACTAATTTATAAGGATATGGAAAGGAATGCTAAAAAAGAATATTAGACCAGCTGATGCTATTATGAATAGTTAGAGGTTAAGTTCGAGAATAATCATGAGG